GTGCCCTCCAAGTCTGGCCGACGCCCCTCCCTCTGACCTTGGTCTGCCTTCCCTGGCCACAGGGACTGCAAGGTGGAAGGCCCAGGGTCGGTCCTCACCCGTTGGGCTGGCACTGAGCCGGTGGGCAGGCTGCAGGTGCTGGATATTAGCCGGGTCCTGGTTGGGGATGTGGATGGTGGTGGCCTGGGACACGGACGTATGAAGCGCAGACTCGCTGGAGACCTCTGCTTCGGAGGTGAAGACCTGCAGGCACAGGGCTGTCACCTGAGCCCCAGGGCACGGTGCTGGGGCTGGAGGGGTCAGGTGGCAGGCTCTGCTTTACCTGCTTAGTGGGCGTGAGACTGGCGAAGGCGCTCAGGTTGGCAGTGTCGGTGATAAGCATGGTCTGGGGCAGCAAGCCCGTGGGCGTGTACTGGGCCACCTCTGGCTTGTGGCTGTACAGAGCTGTCGGGAGGGAGGAGAGGCGGTCATGCCGGTGGGAATTGATACCGTAGCAGTGAGTTGGGGGCTTTGTTTTTTGTTTTATTTTGCTGAGATAAATCCTGCTGGAAGTGTTATGTAATAGACTCTGGACTTCAGAAAGCTCATGAGACAATTGTATTATCTTGTCATTCCATTTTTCCCAGGAACTTTTGGGAGCTCCCTTGAATGAGAGGCCCACCTTACTCTCTGGGAATGGCACAAAGAGTGAATGTTCTCCGCCACGAGACGGAGTGGACTCAATGGCAGTGAGTTTGGTTTTGGTATAATCCAAAGGTTGGGAGTTTAAGACCCTCCCAGAGGTGCCTCAGAAGAAAGGGCTGGCAACCTGCTCTTGAAAACCCAGCCATTAGAAACTGGCACTCACCCCTGCTTACACACCCAGAGTGCACTCCACAGCCACTAGTTGGGTTTCTTTTTCTGACATTCCAGACAGCATGACTTCTGGCCGACATATGTCCCCGAGGTCTCTGTCTCCCCTACCCAAGCACGTGTATGCACACACCACTGCGCCCACACAGATACACACACCGCCTCACGATTCACCCTGCGCTGTACTCCAGCCCAGATGCCCCAGCTCCACCACCACCCCCTGCCCTGTGTGGGGCAAGAGGAGCTCACCATGGGGGCTCTGCAACTGTGCCATGGTGGCCATGAAGGGGCTCTGGGCCATGTGGCTCTGCACTGGGGGCATGAGGGACTGCTGGTAGGACGGGTGCAGCGGCTGCAGGGTAGTCAGGCTACTGCCCATGCTGTTGATGACCGGCACGCTCTGGGCCTGAGTGGAGGCCAGGCCTGTGGGGGGGAAGAGGGTATCAGCCTGGTGCCCACCCCCTCCCATCTCCACAGCCCCAGCTTAGGCCCCTCAGGGCCACCGTCTCTCCCTAGAGTAAGGTGACCAGATTTAAAGCGGGGCACCATTGACGTGGGGGGTGGGGTTCTTGATTAAAAATTTGATCGATGTGGACCAAATAGACCATTCCCTAGCTTGTCGTGCACTCTTTCCAAAAATTTGGACTGTTCCGCAAAAAGCGGACATCTGGTCACCTTACTAGAGCCCTGCTACTCACTCACTGGAATGAATGGCAGGCCATGGCCAGTGAGCCCCCCACCCCTAACCACTGGGTAGGGATTGGGAGGAGTGGGCAATGACTAGCTCCTGTCGCCTCAGGTGTCTCAGAATTGCAAGGGCTGGACGCCCCTCTCCAGCTGCTGGGAAGCTTAGCTTCTCTCTGGAACAGCCACAGCCCTACAGTCAGTCTCAACTCATAGGACAAAATAGAACGCTCCTCTGGGTTTCCAAGACAGCCTTATCTTCCTCTTTGGGATTGACCATGGGTTTGAACTGGGCAATGTTTAGCCCACGCCACCACCGGGTCTCCTTTCTACCTAAAGGTGCCCATCAGGAAGGGCTTTCAAGGTTTACAAATCAACCCCGCAGCCTAGATTTCCGCCCGCTTCTCCCGTGCCGCTTTTCCTCCTCGGCTCCGCACGGAGGTTTTAGCCAAGCGTTGTTCTGGTGGACTGTCAAAGGTTGCAGAGCGCCGGCCCAGGAGCTGGCACTGGACAGATGGGCTCTGGCTGAGGGAACGATTGAGCCTCACTGGCTCTTCCAGCCCCAGGGTCCTGTAATGGGTACCCCCCCCCCTCCCCGCTTACCAATGACCAGGGTGGACGCGCCAGTGTTGGTAAAGGTGGATCCCAGGGTGGCAGGTTCACCAGGCCCGATGGCCATGACCCCAGGGAGCGAAGCCATGATGAGGTTCTGGGTCTGCTGACTGAGGCCCGGGGATGTCTGCTCCAGGCTGTGCAGTGCTGTCAGGGTGCTGACAGGGGGCAGAGGGCCCCCAGTGGCTGAGACCTTCAGGGGATGCCAAGCTGCATCAGGGTGAGACACCCCCCCACACACTGCCTCCCTGCCGATCCCTGTAGGCTCTCCCAGCCACGGGACCTTCTTCAGAGGCGAGGACACTTACCAGCTTGGCTTCAGTGCTCAGCAGGCTGTGGGTGGGCTCCAGGCCCGTGGGCGACACTTGGTGCAGGCAGGGGTGCAGACACAGTCACCAAGGGGCCACCACTGCTGGAGGGCACCTCTGCTGCCTCGCTGGTTGCAGACTGCCCATAGCGCACACCTGGGATAGAGTGCCGTGTTCAGCCTCAGCACCCCACTTCCCTGCCCTTGCCCTTGCCCTTGCCCGCCACCTCTGCCTCGTTGCTCCAAACCAAATGCCAGCTGCTCATCTTTCTCTACGGGCCAGGCCCGTCCTGGCTGCATCTAGCTCCGTGAAGGCCAGGGCTGCATTGATTAGCTCCATGCCCCCCATTGTCAATGCTATACACTGAGTGAGTGCGGGCAGAAGTGCGTCATAAATATGTCATTTTTAAAATGATGAACTGAACTAAGGCTAATGCAATCAAACAGGAAGAACAGAATTCAGTTGAGTTGAACTGAACCTTGAACCAGAAATGAACTGCGTCCCCATCGAATTGGATTGAACAGAACTGAATTGAATCTCGTCCAATCATATTGAATTGGACTGAACTGAACCGAGCGTGTGAAATTTAAATTGATTTGGCTTTAATTGATTTGCAGATTTGTTAACCTGAATCAATCTAATGGGAATTGAATTGAAGTATACTAAATTGAAATGGACCACATTGGATTATAATGAGTTGAACATAATTGAACTGAGCTTAATTGAATTGAGTTGTCTTCAGATGAAGTTATCTGAATTGAAATGGGTGCATTGAAGTAACCCAATTCAAGTTCAGTTGACTGGAGTGGATTAGATGATAGTGGAATGGGGGAGTAGATTATAGAGGAATAGGTGGAGTGGAGTAGTAGGAGTAGAGTACAATAAGGAGAAATAGGTGGAGTGGAATGGAAGAAGGGGAATAAAATGTAGAGGAATGGGTGGAGGGGAATGGAAGGTGTGGAGTAGAATACGGAGGAATGGAAGGAGGATTATAGTGGATTGGAGGGAGTGGAGTAGAATATAGAGGAATGGGTGAAGGGTAATGGAAGGAGTGGAATAGGATGTAGAGGAATGGGGTAGAATATAGAGGAATGGGTGGAGGGGAAAGGAAGAAGTGGAGTAGAATACAGAGGAATGGAAGGAGTGGAGTAGCATATAGAGGAATGGATAGCGTGTATGAGATGGATCCAAGCCGGAGCACCAAGAGGTTGGGTGGCTGCCGCCATGGGGGCATATCTCCCCACTGTTCCTACTACAAACTTCCCCAATCCTGTGCCCACATAGCACTCACCGTGGACCTTGCTGGGGGAGAGGGCAGGTGGGGGCAGGCCAGGGGAGCTGTGGGCAGGCAGCGCAGACCCCGGGCCTGGCCCCGATGGTGGCCCATTGTATGTGTCCATGGCCAGCTTGTGGCGGAAGGCTTCTTCTTTGCGCCGGTTGGCAAACCAGTTGTAGACACGCACCTCCGTGACGAGATTGGAGCCCAGTCCCTGTGCCTGCGATGGTGACACTCCCCTCTGGATGCACTCCGCCCTGCAGAGATGCCCACCCATGAGCCTCCCAAGTCAGGCTCAGAGGAGCCCTTTCCTGGGCATGGGGAACATTCTAGAACACCAGGCTCCCCTGGTAGATCTGGGTTCCTTGTGTAACCTTGGTTAATTGACTTAGCCTTTCTGACCCCACTCTGTTCATCAAGTGAGCAAAATAGCCATAGTGATGGTAGAGAGGTAATAAAATGAGCAGTTATCCAAGAGATTTCTTCGGGTGGAGTGGGAAGGGTGGCCAGGGACAGAGCTAGGTCCTAGACACTGAGCAGAGTTGAGTACTCTTAGGTTCTGCACATCAGGCTAAATCAACAGCTGGAGTTCTCAGGACCTGGGGAGCCAGAGTTGCCCTCTCCTCCCCCAACCCTACCCAGACCAGCGCTATGAAACACCCCCTCTCCGCCTAGCGACTGTACCTGTTACACTCCTCCACCAGTGCCTCCCTCTCCTCCTTGCTGGGGTTCTTCTGCCTCTCATAGGCCTGGAACAGGATCTGCTGGGATGCTGGACCCCACTTGAACCGGTTCCTCCGTCCCTTCTTGGTGGGCAGTTCATCGCCTGTGGGCTCTTCGATCAGCCCACCCTGTCCTGCATGGGTGAACTCTGCAGACACAGGAAGTGAGCAGCCCCTCCCACCTGCCCTCACCAGTCCACCTGCCTACAGCCAAGAGTCGTTCCTCCAGGGGCTAAACCAGAGGGTCTTACCACTAGAATTTAGAGACCCTGTAATCCAGGGATAACAAACACAAGGGAACGTGTGCTATTATGTTAACCTGTGCCCAAAGCAGACATCACCAGTGGGCGTCTGCACAGTTCCTCCTGAGCCAAGAACTCAGCTTAAAAGGCCCTAGGTAAGCATTAGCCATTGTTCAGATTTGGCACACTGGCCGCCCCCATTTGAAAGCTGAGGCTCTGAGAGTTGAAATGTCTTTTCAACTCTCACGCAGTAATGCAAAAGCTTGAACCAATATCTCCTGCCAAGACCCCGAGCTGTGGTCCGTGCCCCAGATTTGCCCATCGGGCTTACAATGCAAGGGGTGGCCAGTGGTAGACAACCAGGGGACTTTGTCAGCTGGTTCCACTGCACTAATAATGAGTCTGTCAGATGATCCCTGGCTGTGGCACCGTAGGAGGAGGACCGACAAGGGCCGAGCATTTTCCTGAGAGGAGGAAGGCAGCGGGTGAGTCTTGTACAGCAGCAGGGGAGCCCTTGCCCTCTGATCGCCAAGAGACAGATAGCAGGCTCTGGGAAGAAGTGGGACTCGACCCGCCTGAAGCCACCCTTGCTAGGTTCTTGGACACACACTTGGCCCTGCCCTGACTCCAACCATGCCCGGCAGCTGTGGCTGGATCAGCCGCTCAGAGGCACTCAGCTTGCCAGTCTGTCTGACCCGGCCTGGCCCCAACCTGGGGGAGAGGGGCACTGGGCCCACAGCTGGGGTCAGAGACACAACAATTAAAATATTTCAGCTTGAAAAGAAACCTTCCCTGTCAAAGTCATCAAGCGAGGTAAACCTGTGAAACTATCACACCGGAGAGGAGCCCAAAGGGACATGACCAGCAGGTGTGGTGTCTGCAACAGGAGGGGCTCCCAGAGCAGAGCGCATTGGGGGAAAACAATCAAAGTCTGAATCAAGCAGAGGCTTTAGGAACGTGTCGTTGGTTTATCCCGTGTGACCGGGGTTATTCGAGGTCCAGGTCTCCAGGCAGGAGGCCCAGCCAACGCTCTTCGTGCACAGCCACACACCCTCTACCCCCACCACCCCCCACCCCACCCCGGTCTGGCTGTGGCCTTGCTGTGATGCTGAATAGATGTCATCAGTTTTCAGACTAAGACTAGGAAGAGAGGCCTGGCAACCTATGTCCTGAAACCAGCCAGTGGAAACCAGGGGCCTACTTGCTGGCAGCTGACAGCCACATGTGGCTGCATGGTTACAGTGCCTGGCTCTCTGGAGCTCAGCAGTGGGTTCTTGGAGGGCTCCGCCTATCAGTCTTTGGTGCTCAGGGCACCTTCCTTTCGTCCCCCCGACAGCCTCGCTGAGAACAGAGGTGATGGATGTTGGCTGACTCTCCCGCCTGCCTGTGCCATGGGGGTGGTGGGCTCCCAGCCCCCACCCGTGAGCCGCAGAGGCTCTCCAGGCCCTGCCCAGGGAACTTGCACCCGCCAACATTGACACTTACGCTGGGCCACCTCTCGCTGCTTGCGGACGTACCAGGTGTACAGGGCAGCGCGCTTCTGCGTCTTCATGGGGGTGCCCTTGTTGAGGTGCTGGGACAGATGGGACTGGTTAAGGCCCGTGGTGTCCACCACCTCCCGCTGCGGGATGTTGTGCTGCTGCAGATAGGACTTGACCATCTTCGCCACTCGCCAGGGGTCCTCCCTGAGAGGAGGGCAAAGACAGAACCTGCTCAGAGGGGTGCACAGTGAGTCCCGCTGGCCCCTCTGGTGGGGCTGGGGGTCCTCAGTGCTAGGAGCCTCATCAGCCCTGGGGATAGGTTGGTGGAGAGAAGCAGGTGTGGGAGCAAGCCACCTGGACTTGGGACCAGCAGACCCCCCTGGGAAACTGAGTGAGCCCAATGAGGAGGGTCCTCACTTCTAGGCCTACTATAAAGGCCTCTCCCCGGCCTACCTGGAAATGTTGTCTGTGGCTGTGTGTCTTATCGCCTGCGAGAAACTGGGCAGGACAGTAACTATCTGGTTCTCAGCATCCAAAGTAGAACAACGCCCGTGGTGCATGCATAAATGAATGAGTGGGCGGGTGGGTAGTGAAAGGATGGGGGGGTGGCTGGATAGACGGCCAGGTAGAAGGATGGATGGGAGGATGTGGTGGTGGGAGGATGGATGGATGTGTGGTAGTTAATGAAAGGATGGGGGGATGACTAGGTGGTTGGTGGGTGGGTGGGTGAGTGAGTCAGGGAGATTGATTGGAGAGATAACATTGGATCTGAAACCAGGAGAAAAACAGGGCTTCCCCATTTTACAGCCAGGGCCACTGAGGCTCAGAGTGCTTCACATCACTTGCCCCAGGTCGCTTTGCCGACCCGGCACTGTCCTGTCCCACCTGAAGGGATTCTAAGTCGGGTAGAAATCACTCAGGCTCAAAATGCCTCTGGAAATCACTGCACTCAACCCTGGGTCACGGCTGAGCAGCAGTGGCCGCTGGGCTTCAGCAGAGTCCTTGGTGAAGGAGGCCGGAAGTGACAGACTCCTGGGACACACAAAGAATGTGCTGAGCACCAGAAGGCCTCTCTAAGGGTTCAGGGTCTTTCACTAAAGAGACCCAAGGCCACCAATGATTCATGTCCCCGTCTTCTCCCTGGGTCTCCCTGTGAGAGTGGGAGTGAAAGGGATCCGAATTATGTGCCTTGTATAAATTACTCCCAGGGCTCTGAAACCCACCCCATCCTACTTTCTCTCCTTCCTTAAAGAATTTGCCCTCTTGGCAATACCCTCCTCGGAGGGCCCAGAGCTGGTCTCTCTCAGCGTTCACCTCCAGCTGCGTCCATTTTGTTAGCAGCTCCCAGCCAGGAAAGGAGGTTGGCGGCCGCGGCGTTGAAATTGGCCAGCAGAGGACAGAGGCAGGCGGCTCGGGAAGAAACGACAAGGTGCTTCATGGGTGCTTCCTGTGAGCCAGACACCGAGCTAGGGGCCCATGATTTACATCTGACCATAGCCTAACGACTGGCGTGCCACTCTTTCTCCCGTTTCATAGGTGAGGACACTGAGGCTTAGAAAGGTGACCTCGCTTGTCTAGGGTGCCCTTGCTGGGACTTGTCCATATTTCTTGCTGCTCTTGATCTTGCTGGCCTTCCACCCCACCCCACCCCTCTCCCCTCGGCATCTCCTCTCCTCCCCCATGGCTCCCCACTTCCAGGTGCCAGTCACTGGGAGGCAAGCACAGTCCAAAGTCCAGCCATGAACTCCCAGGGCAAACATGTTTATCTGATCTCCAACCACCACCCCTGTGCTCCCTCCCTCCCTCCCTCCCTCCCTCTCTCCTCCCAACTTCATCCCCGGGGCCTCTCCAGGGCCAAACTGGAAATTCAATCTGCCACTGTCCAACTGATCCCTCGGTCTCATATCTGTCTGTCTGGTTTTTGTGTGTTGTTTGTTGTCTCTATCTGTGTATGTGTGTGTGTGTGTGTCTTAGATCCCCCACCACCACCAGATCACATGTACACTGAGCTCACAATCAAACGAAGGCCAGTCCCCCTTTGCAAGGACGCCTGTAGCACCTGATAGCAGAGGCAGGGACTGGAACCTGAAAACGGGCCCCGAAATGTTGACACAAGTTCGCATGAACATTCTGTTTTTGAACAGTTCCTCGGAGTGTTGGGACAACCAATTCATAACGAGGGGAGTTACAATGCCCGTCAGCCAGTGGGGTGGCGAAGTGGCACAACCTCTGTGGGACACGGTATGTATGGCCACGTCCCCAACAAGCCAGAAATCGTGAGGCCTCAGGACCTGGCACTCCCACGCCTAGGTGTGCACCCTACAGAAGTTGGCGCCCGAACACCTCCCCCCATGTTTATGGCTGCATTCGTCCCAATAGGAAGTTGGGGAAGCAGCTCCGAGCCCATTGACGGGTGAAGGTATAAACCCACGCACGTGGTGCACACACAATGCATACAGCGCAAGCACAAGGAGTGCGCCTATACATCTCAGAGCGTGGGTGACTCTGGAGGACATCGTGCTAAGTGGAGCAAGTCCACCACAGAAGGACACGTGCTGTGTGGTGTCACTTTGGCAAACAGTGGCGAACAGGTGGGCACACCCAACACAGCCTTCTTTGGCAGTGACCAGGGATGGGGAAGGGAGGGAGGAGAATCACTTCCTCACCGAGTGCTCACTGCCAGTGAGGTCATTCTGACTCCAGCAGTCCGATAGGACCGAGTTGGACTGACCCTGTGGGTGTCGGAGGCGCCCTTTACCGGAGTAGAGAGCCTCATCTTTGCCTGGGTTTGAACTGCTGCCATGGTGGTAAGCCGCCCCATAAGCAACCAATATGGAAAGAGCAATCCCATAGGATCCAGCCGTCCCCGTGCTGAGTCTGTATCCCAAAGTCGAAAGAATCCTAACACGGACAAGCATGCACTTCCGTGTTCATCATAGCACTGTTCCCCACAGCAAGTAGCTGGAAACGGCTCAGCTGCCCATCCCTTGAAGAACGGATAAACTCCCGTACATACACACAGTGATACGATGTACCACTAACAATAAACTCCCGTACATACACAGTGATACGATGTGCCACTAACAAAACCAAACAAACAGCCATGAGACCACCGTGAGGCCTCTCCAAACACAGGTAGACCTGCAGAGAAGTCAGGCCATCCCAAAAGGATGCACACCGTTTGAAACCACTACTCTAAGCTTAAAAACCAGGACAGAGACTGGCATACCAAAAAGGCTTTTGAGGTTGGCAAGGCAGGGGGAGGGCAAGCAAGAGACAGTGAAACAACAGGCTAGATGGCTGATGGGGGGTTGACTTTGGGGACAGGGAGGGTGGACGTCGACAAGAGGGAACAGAGTGATAGGGGGAGGGGGGAGTTGATGAGTGGTTTGAACTGTTGAGAAGGAAGCTGATGGTCTGAAATGTAACCCCCTACCCGCCCCACCTAATTCTCAATAGAAAAATCATCTCAAAAAGTGTTAAATGGGAACCTAATTTTCAGTTTAAATGTTCACCTTAAAAAAACAATAAGGTATTTTAAAAATAAATAGAATAAAATACCAGCCCAAAGATAAGCGAGACTTGCTGGAAGTTATCTATCTTTGCTTTGTTTTTTAGGGCCCACTGACTCAGTCTGTCTTACTTGTGTCCGTCTGTCTTTGTCTCTGTTTTTCTCCTCTCCGTGGTGTGCCTTTCGGGGTGTGTGTGTGAGTGCGTGAGTGTGTGTGTGTGTGTGTGTGTGTGTGTGTGTGTGTTGATCTTGGGGTCTCCATCTCTTCATGTCTATCTCTCTGTTTCTGTCTCTGGCTCAGTTTTCTTCTCTCTCTCTGTGCTTCTCTGCCTTTGTCTCTCTGCCACTCTATCTCTCTTTCACACACACATGCACTCTGTTTCCAACATCTTGACTCATCTTCCAGGCAGCTTCCCCAGCTCTCCCGACTCCAGAACTAAACGCCCCCTTCCCAGGCAGTGAACGCCATTGGGCCTGGCAGTCACACCAGCCTGCCTTCACCACTGCCACTGTAGTATCTGCGTGGCCTCGCCTGTCCCACATGCCATCTGTTACATGGGATCGATCCACACCTGCCTCACGGTGGCCCTGGGGGAAGAAGAGGGGTGGAAACCAAGGGCCAAACACAGGGCAGGGCGTGGCACCCTGTAAGTCCCCAGTCAATAGAACGATGTTATCATCTTACCCACAACAAAAGGCAGAGGACCCAAGGAGAGGCGAAAGTCTGCCCACCTATCCGTCACCCCCCTTTTGGGGGCCATCATCCAAGTTTCAGAACTTGCTCCCTCTGTCCCAGGAGGGACGGAGAGCTCAGTGTGGGGGGCCTGATGACCTGGTTTGAATCCCCCCTCTGCCACTCACTATCCGTGTCTCAGTCTCTTCCTCTGTGATGACCTGGAACCAATAGTCGTCTTGCTTCAGAGGGTTTGTCAGCTTTGGGGGATGAGAGACGTTCAGAATGTTCGTTGGAAACAAGGATGGTGAGACTTCCTCTCGCGCAGCCTTTGGGCGTATTATGAGGAGGGACCAGCAGCAGCTCCGAGAAGAGCCTCACTGAGATGGATTGACATGGCCGCTGTAACAGTGGGCTCACACGTGACAATAATTGTGAGGAAGAGGCAGGTCTGGGCATGCAAGCACCTCTGAGCTCGAACGCACCACAGGGAAGTAGTTGGTGGTGTTCTAGGTGAGACCAGCAAGAATGTCTGGCAGCAGGGAAAGCAGGGGCAAACTTGCCCAGGAGAAGCATGCAGGGCTCAGGGCACTTTGGAGAGTGTCGGCAGGGTAGCAGGACCTAGGGCCAGTTCTGGTTTTACTTTGGCTCCCTGGGCCTCCATGCGCTCGTCTGTAAAATGGGGCCATGCATAATACTAGCTACCCAGGACCCATGGCGGCACTGTGGAATAGGCATTGGCCTGCTAACCAAGAGGTCAGCAGCTCAAATCCACCTGCTGCGCCTCAGGAGAAAGAGGAGGCTGCCTGCTCCTGTAAAGATTTACTGTCTGGGAAACCTGATGAAGAATCGAAATCACCATGATGGCAATGGAGCGACAATAGTTTTTGCACTAAACTATGCGTGTGCTATTTAACCTTGTGGGTACATGTTGTTATCGTCTCCACTTTGCTGAGGACACTGAGTCTCAGAAAGGCAAAGTCACCCACCTGAGCTCGAAAGGGGCGGAGCTGGGATTGGAACCCAGGCAGCCTGGCTTCCATCGGGGATGACAGATCCCAGCCCAGCCCCGCCTTGGCCGCTGTCTTTGTGGGGCTGCAGCCCCACCAGCCGTGACTCCCAGGTAGGAGTCTGAGTGGCTCAGCAGCAGGTGGACCCTCGACCTTGGTCCCTACGTTGGTCATGGCCTCAGCCTACAAGGCAGCAGGTACGGCCTCTCTCCTACCTCGGTGCTGTGTGTTCAGCCACCAGTCACCAGCGGCCACCAAGTCAAACCCAGCTCGTGACAACTCCACGTGTCCCAGAGGAGGCTTCAGGACACCCGCGAGGAAAACGGGAGCGAAAAGATCATGACCCTTTTCCCACCCATGTTTTTGAAGCTCCCTCGTGGAACTGTGCTGCACAGGGTTCTTATGGCTGGACCTCCCGGAAGCAGATCACCAAGCCGGGCTTCCTTGCCTCCTCTGGCTGGGTTCATAGCAGCACCTTTTCAGCACGTGTGGCCCCCCCCCCTTGGACTCCTGTGTGTTAGCCATGGGGCGGAAGGCCAGGGTGCACATGGCGAGCAAGCGCTTCACTCGGGCCCTGCCTTTGCAAGGCTGGTGTCTTGGTACCCAAAGCTAGAAAACTAACTAGTCCACCGAGGCATCCGATCCTCCCGGGCAATGATGAGTGACGGGGAAGAACCAGCAAGGGGGCACACACAGAAGGCAACTGTGTGTGACCCACCTTTCGATGGGGAAGGCCTCCCCAGAGAAGAGACATCTGAGCCAGAGGAGGAGAAAGGATGGCTTCAGGAAGGGCTCTGGGCCAGAGGGACAGTAAACGCAAGAGTCCCGAGGTGAGTTGGCATCCAGCTGGTGTGTGTAGGGTTAAGGTTAAAATAACAGTAACTCACAGCAACCCTGTAGGACAGAAAAACTGCCCCTGTGGGTTCCCTAGACTTAAATCATGACGGGAACAGAAAGCCGCGTCTTCTTCCCGTGGAGTGATTTTGGGATTTCAACCTGCACCTGTGCTTAGCCCAATGGGTAACCAACCACTCCACCACCAGGGTGTCTTGGGTTAGGGTTAGGGTCAATGTAACCAGTGAGCGAGGGGGAGGTCCTGTAAGAAGGTGGGGAGGGGTGGAAACCAACACAAGAGGTTTGGATCTCATTCACTGGCCAGGTGCTGATGGAGGGGGAAACTGAGGCAGAAGGTGAGAAAGACGCTTGCACAAGGCTACGCATGAGCTAAGGCAGCCGTCTAAGGGGAGAACTAAGGTTTCTGCTGTGGCCTTGGGCACGGGCACCCAGGGGGGCGTCTGGGAACCGTCCCCAGCTCTGGCTACTCATAGACCTGGCTGTCCCCGAGGTCCTACCTGTATACTCTCTCTTCCAGCCCCCCACCTCCCGCCCCCAAGCCAGGGCACCTTCCCTCTGTCCCCCTCCCCTGCCTGCAGGCCTGAAGCCCCACTCTCCCCCCCTCCCTACTCAGGGTGTTCTCAGGTCCCTTTTGTTACCTGAACAATAAGTAACCCAGGTAGTTAGTTATAAACTCCACAGGAACAAGGAGCTGGTTGATAATTTATAGCAACATCTCAAATTTAAATGGAAAGTAAATAGCATGCTGTTAGCATTAAAGAAAACCCAATGGGGCGGAGGGAGGGAGTCACTCTGTGGCCTCTCCTCAGGCTGGGGGTGCCTCACTTTGTCCCTAGCCCCTTCTCTGGCATGGGCCCCTTTCCCCTGCTGGGCTCCTCGGAGCACCTCTCCTGCTGCTCTCCGGAAGGCCTCACACCCTGCTGGTCCCCAGGCAGCACCCTAACCTCTGTTTCCCTCTCAAGAGCTGTGGATCAAGCCTCCCTCCACCGGCCCACCTGAGGGGCTGCAGATCAAGACGCCCCTCTCAGCCAGGTAAGAGAGGCCCTGGGTACCCCTGCCCCCACATCCCAAGGACCCCAAACCCACTGGGGACCCTCAGCAGGTCCAGCCCAGCCCCACCCTGACCACGTTGCCCTCATCCTGGGTCTGGCATCGCCTGGCTCCTTGCCCCACCCCTGCAGCCCTACGGCCCTACTGCCCTTTGCCCTCCTCTTCCTGCCAAGTCAGGGGGCCCTGGCTGCCTCCCTGCTCCCTACCCAGGTCCTCACCTGGCCTAGAAGGCCTGGGTGGGGGTGGGGGTGAGGAGCTGAGGACAGTGGGAAGACCCAAGTGGCCAGCCCACCCCCACCCCAAGCCTGGATCAGGACCTTGGACAGAACAATCTCATGAACATTTGGGGACTTGCCCAGTCACCCTACCCTTCCCCTGGAGCCCCGAGCCCCTAGTCACAGGGGTTGAGAGCACCAAACAGATGGGCTGGAAGACCCAGGTGGGTCTCTTTAATCAGCTGGGTCTGTTCCCAAGCCTCAGTTTCCCCATCTGGGAAGCAGAGAGAGTAGGCTTCCCCACAGGGTTAGCCTGACTACCAAATTCCTTCCGAGAAACCTCAGCACAAACATCCACCAGTGGCAGCCTCAGGACGTCTAGGGGCTGCCAGGCACCTGTCAGAGGGGAGGTCCCAGCAGTCCCCAGGCCTCCCTACCTCCACACACACCTCCTAGCCCCCACCCCTGTTGGGTGGGGGGGAGCTAGTAGGCCCAGGCCTCTCCAGGCCACCGTCCCGACCTACAAGTTAATGATCACAGGCCTTATCAGAGCCTTTCGCCGTTTATAAATTTATAAAACAAAAGAGAAATAATAAAGCCCGTGGGTAATTAGTAACCAAGCCGGCTCTGCTGAGGAGAGGGGAGGCAGCGAGCCGGGGACCCACCTAGTTCTCCAGGAGATGGGGAGCCGGCCAGTGGAAGGGGACAGCGGGGGGAGGACAGGGGAGGCACTAATGGCGCCCTGCTAGTGAGGTGGGGGAGGGGGCTGTGGCCGGCAGGCGGGGAAGACCTGGACTTCCCGTGGCCATCGCTTCCGTCCCAAGGGGGCTGGGAAGCCCCCCAGCCCCAATCTAGGCCTTTAGCGGCGCCTGAAGCCACGCGCTGAGGACTTGGCAGGACAGGTAGGGTTTGGGGAGCAGAAGAGGTCCATTGCCACCATCCTGGGGTTCTCCGGGCCTGCTGCCCATGCCCTGGGGCTTCCCTCGGGCGCGTACTACTTCCCTGAGTCTGGACAGACGGACGAGGCGAGGCCCCCCAGGCTGCTCAGTGTCTGGGCCCCTTCACGGTCGGCAGAGGCTAGGTCAGGGACCAGGGGCAGGGAGGGGGCCTTACTGCAGCAGGGTCTCCACCACGGCCTTCTGGTGGGCCGCCTCCTCGGGGCTGAGGTTCTCCAGCTCCTTAAGGATGGGTGGCGTGAAGTCTTCGCCGTCATCGTCTGTCTCCTCCTCCGAGCCCCGTATCTCCCCCAGCCCGTTAGGAAGCTCGGCCAGCTCCCCTGGGCCAGCGCCGCAGGCCTCTCCCTTGTCCAGGGGCTCGTCCACGGCCAGCAGGTAGGCTTCCGGCTCCCCCAGAGCCTGGATCAGCGCCTCTTTGCTCAGGCCCGACTCGAGCAGGGCGGCCAGCAGCTCCGTCTGCAGCTGGCTCAGCTTCGCCACCATGTCCGTGCCACCTCGGGGCCACGCAGCCCGGGACCCCCAAGCCGGCCGCCGCCGCCCCCACGTCCACGTGGGCCCTTTCCACCTGCCGGCGGCCCCACGGACCAGGCCAGGCTTCTGGCCCCCACTGCACCCCCCGCCCCAAGCCCTTCCAGCGGAGCCCTGTGGGCAACCCCAGCCCCCAACCCTGGCCCCAGCGGCCAGTGAATCAAGGCCCCTGGCCGCTCTGTTTACATTGGAGCTGGGGAAATTCTCCAAGGTTCATATTTATCCGTGTGCTTAGCGGAGGGACTGAACTTTGGACTTCAGCCCTGCGGCGCGCAAAGTGCAGGCCTCACGGCAGGCTGCGCGGGACCGGGAGCCAGGCCTGCAGAGGCAGTGGGCAGAACCAGGGGAGGGGCCTTTGGAACAAGGTGCTGGGTGCCAGGGAAGCTTGGGGGCCACCAGACTGGGTCCCACTCCCAAGGGCCTGGTAGGGGGTCAGGTTGAGGCAAGAGGGCAAAAAAGAAGAAAAGCACGTTCCCTTGGAAACAGCAGCAGCTGGGCCTTTTGGGCTTGAGGACCCAGTAAGGGCAAGGCCACGCCCCTTTGGGGACTCCCCTTCCCAGACATCAGGCACGTGGACTGGAGTGGGCTGTGATTCAAGGGGCTCTGCTGCGTCTCCAGTGTGCGCTGCTACGCCATTGTCTCATAAGGACCACGTGAGGGAACGGAGGTAGAAGAGGTGACCCAGAGACGTTAAGCAACTGATCCAACCTCACACAGCCAACAAGAGTTAGACTAGACTAGACCAGAGAGAGTCCAGTGAATTACGGTGCCCGTGTTGAGGGACCACCAAAAGCAGAGACCCTCACTAACGACAGGATAAGTAATATTCGAGTGCACGATATTAAAAATTCAAAATGAATGTAAAGCCCACGGCCCCCAAACTTGTACATAAGATGTTCACAGCTGCCCCCCCCCAAACAACCCAAAGGCTCATCAAGTCATAAACAGTTGATCGGTAGTGTAAGTTTACTGTTCAACCAATCAATAAAAGGGATGAAGTACTGACATAGGCTACAACACGAAGGACTTGAGACCATTAGCGGTAAGTGAAAAATACAAATTATGTTATTCCACTTGTAGGAAACGCCCAGAATAGGCAAATCCATAATGACAGAAAAGAGATTAGTAGTTGCCTAGAGCTTGGGTGGCCAGGGTAATGGCTCAGGGCAAAAGGTTTCTTTGGGCCATGATTAAATATTCTACAATGGATGTGCATGTGATAGTTGTGCATTATCGTGAATATATAAAAACCATTCAATTGTACACTTCAAAAGAATACGTTTTATAGGGTGTGAATTATCTATCAATAAAATATCATCTTGATTAATACAAATGTCTTTCTCTTGATGATCTGCCTCCTTCTGCTGATTGTGAGCCCCGGAGGACGGGGAGTCTGTCTAGCTGGCTCATTGCTGTGTTCCTAGAGCTGCAATAAAAACCAACCTACCGCCACTGAGTCAATCCACTCACAGCAACCCCATCAGGTCTCCACCAGGTTCCCACGACTGTAAATCTTTATGGGAGCAGACAGCCTCTTCTTTCTCTCTGGTGGGCTTGTATTGCCAACCTTACTGTTAGCAGAGTTGGAATCCACTCAATGGCAGTGAGTTCTGGGTTGTTGTTTTTTTCCTCACATATAAGTATATTTACATGTGTACATGCCTTTATTTAGACCTCTATGAATGCCCTTTGCCTCCTCGCTCTTTCCTCTATTTCCTTTTTAAAAGAAATCATTTTATTAGGGGCTCATACAACTCTTATCACAATCCATACATACATCAATTGTGTAAAACGCATTTGTACATTCATTGCCCTCATCATTCTCAAAACATTTCCTCTCCACTTAAACCCCCAGCATTAGGTCCTCATTTTCCCCCTCTCTCCCCTCTCTCCTCCCCCTCATGAGCCCTTGCTAATTTATAAATTATTATTTTGTCGTATCTTGCCCTGTCCAACATCTCCCTTCACCCACTTTTCTGTTGTTCGTCCCCCAGGGAGGAGGTCACATATAGTTCCTTGTAATCAGTTCCCTCTTTCCAACCCATTGTCCCTCTACACTCCCAGTATCACCACTCACACCACTGGTTCTGAAGGGATCATCCTCCCTGGATTCCCTGTATTTCCAGTTCCTATCTGTACCAGTGTACATCTTCTGGTCTAGCCAGACTTGCAAGGTCGAATTCATATCATGATAATGGGAGGGGGGAGGAAACATTTTGGAACTAGAGGAAAGTTGTATGTTTCATCTTTGCTACATCGCCCCCTGACTGGCTCGTCTCCTCCCCGAGACCCCTCTGCAAGGGGATCTCCAGTGCACTACTAATGGGCTTTGGGTCTCCACTCCACACTCCCCCACTCATTCACTATGGTAAGATTTTTTGTTCTGATGATGCCTTACACCTGATCCCTTCGACACCTCGTGGTTGCATAGGCTGGTGTGCTTCCTCCATGTGGGCTTTGTTGCTTCTGAGCTAGATGGCCGCTTGATTACCTTCAAGCCTTTAAGACCCCAGACGCTATATTTTTTGATAGCCGGGCACCGAGTTCTGTTTTTTCCAGGAACCTCAAGGTTTGCAGTTCAAGTCTATCTACTGGCAGCCTGGAAAAAAAATGTCCTGGCGATCTCCTTTAGTAAGGACAGCCAAGACCGCTCAGTGCCACAGTTCTGTTCTGCAGCCCAGGGGGTCATCGTGGGCCAGGATCGACTTTTAGGACAACGGTTTTGGGATTTGAGGAAGCGGGCCCTCTGTTCACACCTGTGAAAGGAAGGAGCGGCTCGAGTTCCTTGCACGCTGACCCCGTAACATCACTTAGCTCGATGCTCATGGCTTCAGCAATGCAATCCATCCCCACACCACTCCATGGAGCAGGAACTGTAAGCATTCCCATTCTCGGGTGGTGGTGGTGGGGGGGGGCAGGAAGCAGAGACCTCACGGGGTCAATGTCTTGTTCAGAGTCCTCCTACAGCCAGGCAGGCTGGCACTGGCAGGCCCCCCCCCCCCCCCCCCCACGAGAGGATGCAAGATCCATCTCTCCTGCCCTGTGAACAAGTGGCCTAAAACAAGCTCGCTGCTGGGGGCAGAATTCTCCAGGGCAGGACCACTGGCCCTGGTTAAAGGGCAGGGAAGGTCTTGTGCGCTGTCCCTCGGGAGCATCACCATCTCCCCCTCCCCCAGCCCGCAGTGACTCTTCAGTAACCTTCCACGTGGCATAGGAAACCAGAGGGCTTCAGGAGGGTGGGGCCTGGGGTCTTGGCATACAGTTTCGACTCTTTAGCTCCCATGGCCAGGTGGCTACCCTAGAGACTCCGGGAATGGAGGTGGAGTTGGTTGAAAAGGGGGCGGGAGCAGGTGGGGAGAGACTTGAGGGAGTCTAGGGAGAAAGACCTCTCCAGGATCCCCCTCCAGCTCCCCAGACACGTGGAGGCTGTCCACCTGGGTCTCCACCCTCACCCACTCTCCAATCCCCGCCCCCCCAGCCCCGGCGGCCCCAGGCAGGTGAGTTCCATTTACTTAACATAACGTGTGGGGTGAGGAGCAAAATGCTGAGCAGTCGGACTTTCCTGGTTTGCTGTTGACTCTTTCTCCTCAGGCTGCTCCCCCCTCCACACACACCCATGGGTGTCAGAGGAGAACTGTGCTCCCTGGGGTTTTCAGTGGCTGGTTTTTCATAAGCAGATCACCAGGCCTTTCTTGTGGTTCCTCGGGGTGGACTTGAACCCCTAGCCTTTCAGCTAGCAGCCAAGTCATATATTGACTGTTGGCACCACCCAGCCCGAGGCTCTTCTTCTCAGTCATTTTTTTACCATGTCCCAAGGTCCGTCCCAAGGTCCCCCAAACACACACACACTAAATGCATGGTGCTGTTTTTTGATCCAGACAGCTTAGTCGGCATTTATGGCCTAAAAACTCAGCAGCTGATTTGGCTGCTAACCCTAAGGTCAGTAGTTCGAACCTGATGCCTGCCTGCTCTGATACAGGTGTTCAGCCTGGACAGGTGGAGCCCCTCAGGAGCAGTTCTACTCTGCCCCAGCAGGTTGCATTGAGTTGGAATTAACTCGATGGCATGGAGTTCATTGAAAACCTAGCGCAGAAAAACGGAAATAAAAGGTAAGTCTCTTTCATGCGGATGCGTGAGTGTGACGGACTCTATACAGCTTCACCATGGGGGAGGGGGGGCGACACTAACAAACCATCTTAACCCAACTCCAGGCCTGTCATCTGCGTGGAGGCCCGCTGTCGCATCTTCCTCCCTCAGAGAGGCTGGTGGGGCCAAACCCCTGACTTTTCACTTAGCAGTTGAGCACGTAACCACTTCACAGTACCGAATTAATTCTTTTTCCTTTCCATAATGATTTTACATATCCGAGGAACGTAGCCCCATCTAACATGGAAGCTGAGGACAATCTTGAGCTGTATTTTGGGAGGTGTCCACCAGATGTCGCTGTATTTCTGCCCAAATTCCTCTGAGAGCTTCTGCCTGTCCCTGTGGCATCTCAGAGCACATTTTGGGAACTGGGATCCGGGGCTGGGGTGAGGGGGTGGGGGTTCTCACGGACCACTTTGGGTAAAATGGTCAATCAGTTGTACCACCTACCATTAAATGGATTCTGACTCATAGTTGTAAATCTCTGAGGAAGCAAAAAAACTCGTCTTTCTCCTTCAGAGAAACTGGTGGGTTTGAACTGCTGACCTTGAAGTTAGCAGCCAACACATAACCCACTGTGCCACCAGGGCTCATATTTGAATACACAGTGGTGCATCAGGGTAAGAGTCCTCGAGGCAAGAAAAACACGTTACACCAGAAGGACTTAACATAGAGGCCTGGCTAAACGAATGGAACCCTGCCTCGTGGTTGCCTGCAACTTTGGACTGAGGCCTGGGGTCCTGGAAGGGAGAGGAAGCAGAGAGTGGCCAACCCGGGATTATGGAAGTGGCAGTCTTTGGACCCTGGGGTGAACCCCCGGCTTGGTAGGTGTCCAATGGAAAGGGACCCAGAATCACCATATATT